GTCACGTTTTTGGTGCACGTGAAGCTCCTGTTGCCTTCACCAGGGCTGAGCAATGGCAAAGAAGGAGAAGGGAGGCTGCAGCAACTAGGCAGGATTAGCACTGCTGAGCTGCTGGATCCCACCTCCGTGATGAATTTCCGGCGCCACTTCGCCACATCCCCACAGTGCACCTCTTAGCAGAGTTACTTTGGAATTGAAAATTGCTAGGACAGATAGAGCAGCATGTAGGATTACTCCTGGACCTGTGGCAGACCATATTTCTCAGCCTATGTTCCTGCTTTTCTAAGACCATGTTTGCTTCTTGGTTAAAGAGGACTTTTGAAAAAGACAATTGATGGCGGAAGAACAGACAGAAGTGCCATAATGGTGATGAATACTTATTTTGTTTAATTGCACAAAACAGTGGAGTAAGAGTAAGAAATCCATTTCATATTTTTTTTTTATGTGACACACAAATGGGGATGCAGCAGGATAACTCTAATTCTCTCACTCTTTATGCTGATTTAATAACCAACATATACAGATACGAAAGACTGTCATGCAGTTTTCCCTCAGTGCTTCCTGAGGTTTGATCAGTAATGCTACAGATTCGAAATATACAAACATGTTTCTGAGCTTAAATAAAAAGCTTGTTAGAGAACCAGAAATATGTATTTTTAAGTATGTAAACAACAGGAAAGTTTTAAGATACAAATCACTGGGATGAGATATACTTTTGCCTTCTACCCTAATCATTTGTATTAAAATAAGAGAGATCCTAATTAAAATAGGAGTAGTTCTGGTTTAAGGGGTAGGGACAAGGTAGATGGTTAATAAGCTAAAAAAACCCTCCAACCCAGCTTCACACACATCCTGACACTACCAACAAATGCATGATATTTAAACCCACAATGCATTATAGTAAGGAAACAGAACGACACACTGATGAGGAGGAAACCCACACTGCAGTTACCAGTGCCAATGGTAGAGGAGTGAGTGCAGCCATTGCTCTCTCCTGACTCTCATGTGCCGAACTCTGGCACAGTCACAGGCACTCACTAGTTAACTTGTCCAGAAATAAGAGAGTCAATCAGTTCCTTTAACGCGTTGCAGAGAGGATCGGTATTCTACCTTGGTTGTCTGAACAGCAGCGCCCATACCCTCTCAAAATATTTTCCTAATTTACAGGCAGCAAAAGGGTTATGCTGATCAAAACATTTTCATAAATACATACCATGAATAATGAGAGGATAAGAACTTCTAGGCTATAACATATCTGACACTTGGAAGGAGAGAATGGCAATGGTCAATGGTAAAATGTAAGCCAGAGATGAGAGCTTTGTCTTGTAAAATAATATATTCACTGAACTGTGTATTGTTGGTGGTATTTAACTGTCCTGTTCATGTTAGAGTGAAAGAAATCAAGCAGTAAATAAAATGCCTCTATCTGGAGTGTTGTCCTGAAATCTTTATTGCCCATAACTTACTCTGTGTGTATGTCCACAATTCGGAAAGTTGACTACAGTTCTCTGCTGACAGCAACACTATTGCTACTTTTGTAAAATGTCATGGACTTAAGCCAATTTTCTCTTTCTGTAAAACATACTTTAGTCTCAAACTAAGTTCTCTGATTTCTGACTGTCAATGCAAGAAGAGAAGCCAGACTTTGCTTAGAATAAGTTCTCAAAGAAATAAACCCTTGAGACTATTTTATGAATTACTATTTTTGTTCCATCTGTTTCTGTCCCCGTCTCCATACCAGGCTATGGCTTTCCTTGTTAGGCAAAGGAGATGATGATGTGAAGAGTTAATGGAAGTGATTTGTTAATCATGCAGCCTGAAAACTGGGCTTCTGTTACACTTATGCATATGTCAGGCTCCCTGAAGGGCAACAATAACAAGGTTTATTAAGTTAAACGGGAATGCCTTCTGCTAGTCTTCACGGGGCTGCTGCCCAGGGCTTCTGCCTAGGTGTAATTCATGAGATACGCCTCAGCTGTCCCAAAACAAAGGTTCTGTCAAAGTTGAACTACAAGACAGAAGTCTGGGTATGCGCTGGAGATGAGCTTCCAGAAACTTGAGATACAGATTTGTGACAGTATCTGGGTCTGACAGGGGTGGCAGTGTTAGAAAAGCAGTAATGTAAGTCCATTGATCTCATGGGTTTGGTGTGACTAGCTGGTACAAAGATGTAAAGCCAAGGCAGACAACAAAAGGCTCTGGGAAAGAAGAAAGATGTCGAGTGCTCTTGCTTGAACACCTGCGAAGTCCCATCATGGTGTCTTACAGAGAGATTAGGGGAACAAGTGGTACCCAGAAGACAGCAGAGCCTGGGAGTACTTGAATTCATGCAGGCCAAGTGCAGGAGTGGTGCTGCTGGTATGACTTACAATTAACTTTCAGAGATGAGGCTGTGGGCTTTTTATTGCAAGATTAATTACACTGATGCTCAACTTGCAAAGAACAGATTTTAGGTTGTAAGGGAGCTCTGGAGGTGATTCGGCCCAATGATCTTTGAAAGTAGATTCAACTGTTCCATTAGATCCAACTCTGAGGTTGCTTTGGCTCAGGTCCGCAACCCAGCGGGGGACTTGTGCCGGATAACATCAGAAACAAACTATTGGCACTGGCCAGCAGCTGGAAGGTCAGAAAGAGACCAGCAGTACATTCCCTCACGTTAAACTTGGAGCAACGCTCAGGAGTCCAGTTCTGGGCTGCCTCTTGTCACATCATCAGCGAGGACATTTGCTGTAGGAAGTCATGGTATGCCACCATGTAGGGGACGAAGCTAACAAAAGCTAAAGACTAACCTTTCTCCCTAGCCTACAAATCAAGTCCTCAAAGGCAGTATCTCAGGGATTTAAATGACGCTGAGGAGGTAAATCAACAAGTTGCCTACAGTAATACATATATAAAGCACAGCTGAAGTGATTTGGCCAAGAGGGGAGGCTGTATTGTGCATGGGGTTAAGGAACAGAGAAGAACAGTAGTAAATCTATTACAAAAATGAAATTTTCTTCTTTTGTTTTTCTTGAGGGGAAAGGCTTCAGAAGTAAATAGGAAATGATTCAGGATGTACATTTATGACACTGGTGAGCAGAATACATAAACACTGAAGACTAGCGTTAAACAGCATGAGAAATGGAGAAAGTCAATAATGAAACAAAAAATGACCAAGCTAACGAATTACGAAGGGTCTTTACAGGAGAGAGAATGTATCCTGATTATTGATTTAGAAACTGCAGGTAGTGGTTGGAGGCTAGGAAGAAGTGGACAGTGGAAATGTCAGCTATGAATTTGTGATGTGGGAAATGGGTTAGAATAATAATGCTGCTGTGCAGTACTACGACACTCAGCTGCAAGCAGTATACAGCTGCAATTTCATAAACTTCACTGCATTTTAGTACGGTGTTGTTGCCATATTCTGAGTGAATTCACTGAGGCAGCAAAAAGCAAATACAGTTTAATTTTGGGTTCTCATGTTGGATCAATTTAAAGAAATTTCCTCAAGTGCTGCATAAACATTCTACTCATTATAACTTATGCCCTGTGTCGATGTCTCAGGTTAGGCAGCCAAATCTCTAGTAGTGCTGGAGTATCTTGGCCAGAGAGATGAAACACAGCAATGACTGCAGAACTGAGAGTGTCCCTATTTATGTAGGCTCCTAACACTCAAAACCTTCCTTTGTACAAATTTCTTCACATGAAGAAGTCTGATGCAGACTTGTCAGCAGACGTACGTATTACAGAAACAAACTCTGTGAAACTGGAGGCAAAACACAAGCCATAGTTACGTGCTTGTAACTGTCTGTGGTTTTTTTTTAAGCACAGAGAAGAGGTTGTTGGAGTCACCTGTGCCTCAGCAGGTGACCTTCCCAGCCAGGTGGTGTTGTCACAGGGAGTGCCTTTAAAACTCAAATTAATGTTGGCAGGCTTCAAGTGTCTGCAGCCAGCCAAGGGAGCTGTGAGAAGGTTTCTTTTACAGCTCTGCAAGAGGCAACCAAAAACTCTGGCCTCTTCTGGGGGAGGTCAGCTGCAAGCACTGGGTGTCAGCAAGCGGAGGAGCTGGTCGTGTGGGCGGGGAGCTTACTTTATACTCACCAACCTGGCAAGAGGCAAACAAAAGCCTCGGGAAATCCCAGCAGTTTATGTTATGCAGTTCTGGTGATTGCAAGGAGCCACTCCTGGGGCTCAGCAATTTTTGGTGACCCACCTGGGCTGGCACAGGTGAACGTGGTCAAGTTGGGGAGCCCGGGAATAGGAGTAAAGTTGAACTCTGCAATCTCTCTCCCAAGACGCCTGATGAAGGCAGATGCGGGACTGCCAGAGACATGTGAGTCATACCAGCCTCCAAAAGGGAAAAGGTGAGCTAAAGGGAGGGTAGCATGTTTATACCTTGGGATCAGAGGCATGTTGGGATTAGTCTCTGCTCCAGTGTTCTGTTAAAGGAGCTCCTTTTATTGGAGCACTTGGAAAGTCCTCTGTAGTCAATACAAGTCTCCAGCATGACCTTACATATATCTCCACACTGACAGTTAAGAGAGAACAATTGTGCACTATGTTTTTAAAAACAGGTCCCATCTCCAAATCCATTAGATATCTCTGAAAGCTTTTTTTTTTTCTCTATCCTAAAAATTGTAGGCTATGTATAAAATAAATATTTCACTAGTCTTGTGCAACTGTTATAATGGATATTGTATCTAATGTTGCAAAAGCTTAATCTTTTCATGTGAAGAAAGACAGAAAACTATGCAGAAGGAGAAATAAATGTGTTTCTTGCCCACAAGAAGCATGTTCAGTTCAGTTATATAGAAACAGTTAAGATGATTTGTCAATATGGAAGTTCAACATTGTACTCATGGTAGATTTACTAAAAATTTTCCTACATACAATAGGCATACATATAAAAATAAATGTATCTACATACTCACTGGGAATAAATAATTGTTTCTTTTCTATCAAGAATGCATGAAGAAAAATAAGAGAAATAAATGCTTTTTTATTTTTGCAGAAGAGCTGTTTCATTGTAGTTTCCCATCCATTGCAAGGTGGTGTGCTGGTTCACTAGCAACAAAAACATTGGAAGAAAAATAAAACAGTTGTCAGACCTGTTTTTTCTCTCATAATAGTTAAGTTCCAGGTTTTAATACACTTTGGAAGAAGGGCAGGGATTTTGATCGCAAGCTAGTGACGAGCTTACAGAAATCTGTAAAGATCATCTTAGGTTTTTAAAAGTTCTGTTAACCACCTGTAGCTGTTAATTTGCTGCATTTCCATTGCTGTATTTCTCTCCACTGCACATTCTTCAAGAAAGGCTGTATTTGCCCAAATGTTTTAGTTTGAAAATGTTTGTGCCAGTGCATGTTAAATGCTTGCAAGTGGTCTATATTTCTGGAGATTGCTTTGTGTCCATCCCACGTCCTTCTGGCTTCCAAATTTTCCTTAGGTCCTGCTTAGTGGCTTTATGTTTTATTGTGTTTAGTGTCAGATGCAGATGACAACTGAGGTTGTTGGGAAAGTTCAGAATACCAAACATATATATTTAAAAATTATTTTAGTTTATTTTTCTCCCCTCCCTTCCACTTTCTGTTATGGAAATACAGGATTTTCCTTGGCCTTATGAAATATCTTTGACAGACACACAAACTGCCCGTGCACCCCCTCCTGCACTGCTCACCTGCGGGAGCAGCTCTGCGCTGGCAGTCTGACAGCTGAACCAGGAGCAGGCGAGTCATGATCTCCTCTGTGCTCTGAAGGACGGTCAATGAAAGCTTCGTGAGATGGGTCTTCTTCGTCTGACTGCCCCAGAAGTTCTGTTAAGATGAATCAAGATATGATATCAGGCTTACTTAATTTAAAAGTACCAATCAAGTCACCAACTGTTTGCCTCAGATGTCAATAAGTGTCCTCTCTTGCAACGGATCAAACTGAATGGAAAACCATATGCTTATGCAGCTTTCACCCTTGACTCTTCTCCTTGAAAATGAGGCCAAGTAGCTAATGAGCAGCAACAATAACACGCCCAAGAGTTTTCGGAAGGGACAGAGAGAGTGTGTGTAGGCTTTAGCTAGCGAGGAGGAAATGCCTTCTCCAAATTGTCTACTTCAGAAGGTCTATCTGGCTGACAAACGCTGCTGCAGGTGAGTATTTCGCTGTTGCCATATAGCCCAAAGTCTTATCAATTGGACTGTTGCCCCACAAGTGTATGTGTAACTCCTTCCTTTAAAAATAAAGACTTTCTTCAGCTTTGTTTAAAAATATTTGGTTTACAATCAAGACCTGAAGTCTTCAGGTAGGTGAAGGTGGGGTCTGCGGTTCCCTGCTCCCAGTCTGATCCCCAAACCACTTAAAAATACGGAGGAGGAATTGCATATTCTAGGTGTGAGACTTAAAATAAATAAATAAATAAAATATAATCAAACCCCAGGATAGCAGAGTTTGGATTAAGGAAAAAATCCTGTTACAGATAAAGACTTGAAAAGATTTTTCTCAAAATCGTAAGACCCTTTTGTGTTTTTTCTTTTTTAATCCTGTTTTTCTCCCCTTGTTCTCTGCCTTCCCGGATCCTATATAAGCTAATCTGCACGATACCCATGGCAACACCATGGGCAGTGCAAAGAATATAATGCTCTTGCAAGCATTGCCATACTGCTAGTTTACATTTTGGCCAAAGACCCAGAATGCTCACTGGCTTAGGAGGGCTACTACTACTTGTAAGCGTTTCTGAATCTGAGTCCTAAAAAGCTAATGCCATAAGATTGCTGCTGACTATTTCTACTCTTCATGCTACCTAAATAGCATCTGTGGTGTGAGAGAGGGTGAAGTGTGGCAACAACCAATTTGGCTTTCTCAGGTAACTGATATTCTCTGCCTGTGCTGATGTTTCCCACACCAGGAGAATCACTGAAAACAACAAACTCAGCCAGGGGCAACACACCTCCAAGTACCCGCACCACGTTGCAGTAAATAAAGGAGATAAACTGGCCCTGGTGCAGCTTCTCCTCTACCTAGAATAAAATATCCAAAGAGGAAAAAAAGGAGGGGAGAAAAAAAGTGTACAAACAATGCTCTATATCTAGAAAACTCAAATTAAGGGCAAGTAAAGTACGTTTCTCTGGATATCTCTTGGAGCCTGTTGAAGAGTGAGCAGCTGGGAGAAGGAGAGAAGCAATGCAGAGAACTTAAAAAAGCGCAGGAGAAACTGCTTTTGATGCGCATGAAGAATTCTGGGAAAGGGCTTAAACAAAATTCCAGCTGATGTGTGTGTAGGCAAAATCCACCACAGCTCTCATGGGACAAACTTTGATAGCCTGGGAACACAGCTCTCGCTGCCATGCTTCCACCTGTGAACCGAGTCTTTGGTCCTGAAGAGCCTCCCTCTTCACTTGGCCTTAGCTTTTAAGGAGGGAAATGTTAAGCCTTTTAGTTTTCTAAATGTCAAAGCTAAGATGTACAGTGCGAGTCAAGCTGGTGTAATTAATATTTTTTTTTCCTCCTTTTTTTTCCACCTACTCACTAATGTCTAAGGCCTGCATAACTTAATCCCTCAAAGTTACAAACTTTCACCAATGTATGACGTCCATGGCTTCTCCTTAGATGTCACTCTTGAGCCTGACCTAGCTCCAAGGAGCAGTGGCATTTCAGAACATAAAACCCGAGATACCAAGAGAGGAGTGCGTATTGAGAAAGGAAATAAAACAGGATTGGACCAGCTTTGACTTGATCTCTTTCCATCATTCTGTTAACTTGCATTTTCTCGTACCTGTTGAGAACCGGATCTGAGTACACCACAGCCCTCTCACATCAAACACTTCAGCGTAACCCACACATGTGCTCTGGGTGGGACCCAGCAGTTTTGTAACACGAAGTGGGCTACAGTTTGGATGTATGCAGGCCTCATGTGGCATATTTCTAATACAGGAATGCTATGACCATGGCCACTGACTTTGATATTTTGTGCTGTGGCTACAGCATGGCTACACCTTGTTAAACAACGCTACTGGATCTGTAGGAACCTAATGGAAAACAGAGCAGTCTGTCATATGCAAGCATGTACATAGCCAAAATTGGGGGATGAAGGGGGTTCTTACTTGCAGGAGTGCAAACAGATTTCTTTGCACTTCCGTATCTAAATTAAATATCTGAAACTGACCTCAAGTTACAAGGACTGAATTTATTCTACTCTGGGTATACAGCTGCAGAGCTGCAGTAGAACATTAGATAGGATCAGATGCCAGGAGTGGTTCAAAGCCACAAAATCATCTGATATGAGCTCTAGAGTAAAGAAATAAACACTTCTGTTGTGGGACATGGGACCCTGTGAGAAGTGCTACAGCAGGAAAAACAAATGTGCAAGGAACACTGTTTAAACAACACAGCCCTTCCCAAACCAGAGGCAACACATCCCACATTTAATTAAAAAGGGAAGAATTTTGGCAATGATGCCACAGAGCTGGGAGAGGGTGGTGGTCCTCACATCTAGATGAGGGCTATAGCTAGGGTTTGGTGCTTGATATAGACTTGACTTTGTGCTAGCATTGGAAGTATCACAAGTTGCACCAAAGATTTTGTATTCATGTAGTCTGGGGTCTTCCTTTGGCTTATTGCACAATAAACTCTTGCTGTTTTAAATTCTGACCTAGTATTGCTTATCATGTTAATCTCTGGGGATTTGAATCTGAACTTGAATTTTAAAAACTTGAGAGTTGCTATCACAGCTAACATTGTTGTTTCATCATTAAAGTAATTTATCAGATGCAATAAGATGAATTATATTGTGCTAAAAATCTTTATCTACAAAATCTCATTTGTCATGATCAATATTAGGATAATGTTGTACACACACAACTGCACAAGGTATTTCCAAAAATTGCTGATAGCTATTGCTACATCTAGAGCCCATCTGAAATAGCCAAATACATTTCTTTACAAGTCCACTAGAAGTTTTACTACACTTTAATGAGCATGATGCTCTGTGAACACTGTATGCAGGTGATGAGACCTCATGCCTTCCCTGCTCGTGTGTGTCATTACTTAACGGTATCTATTGCCTTTTGTATCTATGTCTGCAAATCAGAAGCTGTTTCCGTTCTCCAGTATCCTCCACTGGACTTTCAGGGATAAAAAAGCATTTTAAAACCTGCAATCACATGGTAAAATGAAAATCTTCTTTTAATGTTGTTTGCAAAACTGATAGCTCCACTTAACAGAAGCCATTAAATTATTTACAAAGTAGCAGCTGCTCTTGTAAAAATATAGCCTTTTTTTGGCATGAAAAATAAACTAGTGATAAGCAAGAGATAAGCCATTTGACTTCTTCTTTGTGTGCCCGGCATGGTATGCAGAGCCAATTCTGTACAATCTGATGTTTACAGAGCAATCATAATGTACGACCTCCTTAGGCAACAGGGACACAAGAAGCCTTTAAAACGCTGAAGCAAGCATTTAATCAGAACTCTTCATGCTGATCTTTGAAAAATTCAATAAGTTCAAAAAATGTAACTCCTTCTAAAGATAAAATATCAGTTTTTTGCTTCAGGAGTTGCAAATATATCCCAACGAACTCCCAGTGAACCACACAGACATACTGCTCTTCCTTTTTTAAAAGAAGAAGTAAATAGTAGAGTTTTTCTGAAAGAAGCAGATCAAGGGTCTGAAGAAATGCAAATCGTTAAGCAAAGTGAGTGCTGTAAAACAATATAGTTTATTTGTAACCCAAGCAATCACACTTTTTTTAGGCATTTAAACAAGTTTGGTGGTTTTTTTTACTCAAATAGCAATTTCCATGTGAATAAATTCACATCTCCTTTTATTATGCAGTAACCTCTTTTTTATTTTATTTTTTTATTTTGACCTGTTGAAATCAAGATTTCATGCTTTTGTGAGTTTTCTTTTTTTTATTTTTTTTTAAGGCAAATAACTGCTGCAGGAGGGATGAGATTGAGCATGATCTCATGCATTATCAAGTTGCTCCACCTTAACTCTGCCCCAGATTTTCTCAAACTACATGAAGGTATTTCTAAAGCCACGGGGTAAAAGTCTTTTGGTATCAAAATCAGTGGGAACTTCCATTGCTGACTTGAGTGAGGTCAGCTCTTTTTTCTGGCTACAATTGTTTTCCCAAAAACATATATCTAAATAAACAGATTCTAATAAAATTGTTTAGTTTCAACAAATTCCCACAGGGAAACCACACAGCTTTGTTTGTGTGTGTGGAAAAATATAACTCTAAACTTTTATGGTTCTTTTGGTCTAGTTTTCCATGGCTTCTTATTTTTAGATTATGTTTGTGCTGTTTCGTTAATGCCCAGTGCTGACATGTTTTCATTTGATAAATATAAACTGTTGAAATATTGTTTTTACAGTACTTTTTAAACTCATTGAGAATAACTGTTACTGCTGAGAGAGCTGGAAAAGGTACAGTAAATCAGAATATCTCCCATTTGTGTTGTAATTTAACAATTTGATACCTGAGAAGATAAGGCACTTCAATAACTACTAAGTAGAAGCAACCCTTAATGGCAGCATAACATGTCATTATTTCAGTACTTGGATATTAGGCATATTAGCAGCAGCAAAACTGTTTCAGTGGGTGTGCCAGGAAATTTAAGAATGAAAATAAAAGTTATGTGATAAAACTCAAGAAGTTGTTATATATAAACAACTTTTTTTTTTTTTTTGTAGTGTAGACAGTTATATTTCATTTAGCAGTCTTCTGCAGCTTGCAGTGAAACCTGGCTTTAAAACTTTCTGCAAATGGAAACGTCAAGTCTTTACTAGCTCCAGCTGAGATTTCAATCTCTACTACTCATTT